AAGTACAGGTTTGATGAGTAAAATGTAAAATGCTCCCAGATGATTTTTCGGCCTCCAGAGAGGAGACAGGGAGAAGAGACTGAAAAACCACATAGCCATTCTCTGGGAGGCAGTTTAAATACCCTACAGGTGTGGTCTTGAGCATCTCAGGGGGAGGAGCCGCCTTTTGGCGGGTTTTCTGAGACAGGGCAAGTTTGGAGAGAGAGATGGGGGAGGAGAGAATGAGGTGGAGCTTCCACCTGAACATCTGTAGAAGTTTACTGTTGGAATTTTTTAGGGTCATTTATGTATACTATCATATCATCTGCAAATAATGGTGCTTTGGCTTCTTTTCCAATTTGTATCCCTTGATCTCCTTCAGTTGTCTTATTGTTCTAGCTAAAACTTCAACTACTGTACTGAGTAGATACGGAGAGAGTGGAAAACCTTGTCTTGTTCCTGATTTTAGAAGAATTGCTATGACTTTCTCTCCATTTTATTTGATATAGGCTATAGGATTGCTATACATTGCCTTTATTGTGTTTAGGTCTGTTCCTGTGTACCTAATCTCTCCAGGACTTTTATCGTGAAGGGGTTTGGATTTTGTGAAAGGCCTTTTCTGAATAAAATGAGATGATTATGTAGTTTTATTCTGTCAGTTTGTTTATATGGTGGGTTACATTTACTGATTTTCAAATCCTGCATCTCTGGGATAAAGCCTATTTGATCATGGTGAAATTTTTGAGTATTTTTGCATCTATGTTCATAAAAGAAATTAGTCTGTAATTCTCTTTCTTTGTTGAGTCTTTATGTTGTTTGGTTATCAGGATAACTGTGGATTCATAAAATGAATTGGGCAATGTTCCTTCTGTTTCTAATTTGTGGAATTATTTGAGGGATATTGTCATTAACTCTTCTTTGAAACTCTGCCCTAAAACCATCTGGCCCTTAGGGTTTTTTGCTTCTTTGAGAATATCAACAAGATAGACTAACCTTATCCAAACTAACTAAAAGGAAGAGACAGAATATCCAAATGAACAAAACCAGAAATGAAAAGGGGGACATAACAGACACCAAGGAAATCCAGAGAATTATAAGAACATATTTAAAAACCTAGAAGCTGACAAATTAGAAAATCTAAAAGAAATGGATACTTTTCTCAATAGGCACAGCTTACCAAAATTAGATCAAGATCAGATAAACAATTTAAAAAGACCTATAATCCCTAATGAAATAGAAGCAGTCATTAAAAGTCTCCCAACAAAAAACCTAAGGGCCAGATGGTTTTAGGGCAGAAATATGGGTTAGTTTAAGTTATAATAGCTAGTTACTGACAAACTATCAGCCGAGCGTGTATAATTAACAATAATTCTCTGTGTGGTTATTTGGAAACTTTCTAGCAGGACAGAAAATTCGGTCAACATAATTCTTTATTGATTCTTTGGGAGTATCACATCATGCATGCCAATCCCATGCACCTCCCGGTCCCTCCATATTTGACCCTTACCCCTGAAGAATACCTGCAATGGACCCCAAAAAATTAATTAAAAACAAGACAAAACAAACAAACAAAAACCGAGTTCAATCCTCCATCTTCCCAACACTTCTTCATCCATCCTAGGGGCATCAGGAGCTGCAGTGTGTCTTGTAGTATACCCTTTTTGTCCAATCAGCCCCACCGACAAAATGTTCCTAGCAATGAATCCTTGGTTCAAATCTTCTAGCACTGTCACTGGACACTCACCAAAATTCCTCTCACATATCCTGCTATTTCCCTGAGTCATGGAGATTCTTCAGTTATCATTCCACAGAGCCAGTTCCTTCATGCACTACAGCAGGTCATAGATGGGGTAGTTGATAGGGTGGACCAACCCAAGGATGTGGGTCTGGGTTGTAGCTGTGCTGGTCAGTCAGGGTAACTGGGATCACTCCCTCTCAGGCAAGGGGCAGAGCCAGCTCTCCTAGGCCCATGCCATTGATGCCAGCTCTCCCATGCCTGTGGTTAGGAGTGGGGCCATCTCTCCTGAGTGCAGGGGGTAGCTCTCCCATGGGGGGGCACAGCTCTCCTGATGCAGTGTCCAGTGAGGGGCAGAACCAGCTATCCCAGAGATCCTGGATTCCTTAAGGGAATTTACTCATTTCCTCTTGAAGGACCTCCATCGGATTCATGAAGGCTGTTTTAAAGTCTTTATCTTATGCTTCAGCTATATTAGAATATTCAGGGCCTGCTGTGGTGGGATAGTTAGGCTCTAGTGGAGAGATACTGCCCTGGTTGTTGTTGATTGTGTTTTTGTGCTGACTTCTCAGCATCTGGGTTTGGGATGATTAAAGATCTAGGTGCTGATTTCTGGATTTGTCTTTGTTGGGTGAGTGTTTTGTTCCTTGGATTCTGTTTCTTCTCTGGATTTTCAGAGTGGGAAGGCTACATGTTGCCTGTTTTCCTAGGCTGTTCAGCTGGTATATTCCCAGGGAAGGCCTGCTAGCATTGGAGGCTAGGTAACTGAGATGAGTTGGGGGAAGGAAGGTTGGAGGAGAAGGTCTTTATGATCCCTTGGGGATGGAGGTCAGAGAGGAAAGGGAGACCACAGCAGGTTACCATCTACAAAATGAGGATGAGACAGTGGAGGGGGGTTGGCCGGTAATGGATCTCAGGAACAGCAGAAGAGGTATGGGTCTGCCTTCAGCCTACTCCTTGCCCTGAGAAAGGCAGCCTTTGGGTTAGCAGGAGATGCCTGTATCTGAGATACAGCAACAAGTGGGAGGGTAAAGGTTAAGAGGGGATGCTTTGTGTGATCCACAGGAGATGTGAGTGGGGGTGAGGGATGGCTGCAGCTGGTGTTCTGCTGCAGTGCCAGGAACTAGAGTGCAGATTGGGTATAGGGGAGAGAGCTACAGGAAGAAGTCTATGGATAGCCTACCTGGTTTTCTGGCAGGCGTGACCTGTGTCAAGTTTTTATTTTTAAAAATGATCATTAATGCATTAAATAGTGACTCAGGTGAATGAAAAAAGAAAGGTGGTGGAGGGATAAAGAAAAAGAAAGGAGAAGAAGAGAAAAGAAAAGAGATTGACCATGGAGAAAACAAGAGAGAAAAATAAGGAAAGTCCAAGTAGGAATTATGGAGTTGAAAAATATAATAAATGAGATTTAAAAATTATTCAGAGAGATTCAGCAGATAATTAGAACTGGCAAATGAAAGAATCACCACACTTGAAGGTAGATCAAAATTATACAAAATATACATTATAATAATGGAGCCAACTGTTAAGTTTTCTAGAATTTTGCAAACCAGCTATTAAAAAGGACCTTGACTAAAAGTCAAGTTAGACGATTCTGGCTATGACAAATAGTTTCAAAGTCCTGTGAAAATTCCTCATGTGGCAAATAATGCAGACGTGACCATTGTCATCTCTACTAACAGAGAAGGAATGGTGACCTTGTCACTTATTCCAGTAATGGCTATAGTTGGCACACTTTCACCAGGGATTCCCCTGCCACCTCCACCATAATTACTAACTAATTGTCTGTGGGCTGTGGAACCCTTGGGTCTCAGCTGAATTAATGAGATATTTCTCTCCATAGGACAGGAGTTCTGGGATCTCTCTCTCCACCACACACAGTGTCAGGCTTTGCACTACCAGAACCACTAAAACAGATGCTAACTTCTCTACAGACTGTTTGCCAAAACCTTGCTAGTTAAGAGATGCCTCTACCCCATTTGGCCTCATTTACCCCATAGAAAAGGCAGCAGGCTGTGGCTGGTGAACAGTCAGTTCATTTGTGTTTACACATGAACTCTGGTGCTTACCACCATATTGTGCTAGCCTAGTGGTTTAAGCTTTCTTTGTTAACTTCCTTATGTAAAAAGAAAGATAGTAATACATAGAGTTGTAAGAGGCAAACAGAAGTGTGTGGATAAATGCTTAACAGCTTGACTGGAGGAATGCAGAGCCCTTATTTACAATGTTTGCTCTGTTTACACAGTACAAATGCTCCTGGCATGGATGATTTTAGGTAATTATAATTTAAAAGCTATCTCATAAAATCTGAGAATTTAAGTATCAAATAAGTTAGTTCTAACAAATCATATGACTGTCTACTCAAAAAAGAGCCTGGCCATAAAGCTTAGCGATTCTAGTTGCCCTTTCAGAGACCATCATTATTCCTTATTTCAAGATTTCTTCTTGATGTCCATGCAGAGACTAAGCACCAATTAAGAATTTCATCATGGGCAATTGCTGGCAACTAGAGCAGATCTTCTTCAGATGAGGGTAAGTAGAATATTTGCTGTTCTCTCATGTAATACTGGTTTCCATGTATCCTCGACAATAGAGCCCCAGAAGGGGAGTTTAAAGCGGTGAGGGGCTTTTATCTGCCTGCTTTTGGGGTTCTATTACTTTGGGGGTTGATTTTAGCTTTTGAGGCAAGTGTACCCCAGGCTGGTCCCAGATATTATCTACCCACTGCTGCCTCTTGATTGCCAAGATGACAGGCATTAGGTACTGCAAAACAGGGTGAGTTTAATCAGCCACATTAAATCACACTAATCTGCTGGCCTCATGCCCTCACATTTTGGGTAGAAAAATGCCACAGTCTGTCATAGCTCTGCACTACGTATTTTCCTCTGTATTCCTCCAGGTATGGGGGAAAGTTTCTAGAATTCTCTTAGTCCCAACATTTTTTTGAGTGGGTGACCTGAGAAACCTTACTTGCCCTGAGAGAGTTTGCTGTAAAAATTCATGGTAAAATTGATAAGATTTTGCTATGGAAACCAGATGTTCAGGCAGCTGTTTGCCATATTTGGCACAAGTGACAAACTCCACGGTTGGAAAGTGCTAATAGCAAAAGCAGGAAATGATTACCAGATTTCATCAACCCCTGCAGGTGACCAGCCTCCACCAGTCCTGACAATCTGGATTCAATCCCATGGATCCTCATGATAGAAGTAAAGCAATTCCCACAAACTGTCCTACCTCCACACGTATGCTGTCACATACAAAATAAATAAATGCAATATATCTTAATAAGATTTCTTTATTTTCTATCACACGTATGATTATTTTTGAATGCATGTGCATATGTTCACTACATGGCTTGGTAACTGCAGAGATCAGAAGAAGGCATCAGATCTTCTGGAGGAGTTATGGAATTGTTGTAAGACACCATGTGGGTGCTGGGAACTGACATACGGTCCTCTGCAAAAGAATAAGTGCCCTTAACAACTGAGCTATCTCTCCAGCCCCTGTATAACGTATTTTTAAAGAAACAAAAGTTATGAGAAAACAGAATAATTCATGTAAAGTTGAGATTGGTAGTTCCATCTTGGAAAATGGAAAATGAGAAGTTTGGGAGGGGCACACAGGGCCCTCTAAGATACCTGGAATGTCTGTTTACAACCTTAACCTGGTTATTGGATGCATTACAGGTTGAATTCCTTATTGTTTATACTGTAGAGATTTGATTTGTTTACACTTTGATTTGAATATAAAATAATAACAATGAAAAATATTCTGTAGGAGCAAAAACAAGGAGGAGGGGAATAAAACCAGAAGGTTCTGGAAATAATGATGGGGCAGTGAGTGAAGCCCTGTACCTGAGTGTCCTTCCATCTTAGAATACTTCTGGCAGGGCCCCACTTACCCATTGCTATCCTGTCATCTGCCAGGCCAGAGAACCCTGTGTCCTCAGTTCAGCTTCCAGAGGAGCCACAACCTCCCCCATCTGTCACTGAGCTGGCCTGCTATGCTCCAACATTTCCAGTCACTTCACTGATGGAGTTTTCTTGGATGAAATTTTCCCCAAGTTTGACCTTCACTTTATTAATTCCGTACTTTCAATCACCTCATAGACCGGCATGATTGGAATTCATATCTAAGTCTTTTGATAATGCAACTGTGAGCCACAGTAATTTTAACAAGCCACTCTTGCCTCCTGACTGTTAACTTTCCATGAGGACTGAGTGATTGGAACAAGGCTACTTCCTATCCAGGGTAGCTATGGTGATAATGTCTTCCCCAATATAGCATGCACCCTAATAAGCTTATCTGGGGTCAGAGAAAAGAACAGCCACTAGATGTAGAGGCCAGAAAATGGTGGCACATACGCCTTTAACCCTATCATTTGGGAGGAAGAGATCTATCTGGATCTCTGTGAGTTTAAAGCCACACTGGAAACAGCCAGGCATGGTGACTCACGCCTTTAATCCCAGGAAGTGATGGGAGAAAGCAGAAAGGTATATAAGGCCTGAGGACCAAGGAACTAGAGCTGGTTAAGCTTTTAGGCTTTTGAGCAGCACAGTTCAGCTGAGAGGCATCCAGTCTGAGGAAACAGGAACAGCTGAGGAATTGGCAAGGAGAGGTGGCTGTGGCTTGTTCTGCTTCTCTGATCCTTTCAGCATTCATCCCAACACCTGGCTCCAGGTTTGTTTTTCTTAGTAAGACCTTCTAAGATTCGTGCTACAAATAAATTGTAAAGAAGCCAAGAGAGCTGAAATGATCTGCTATGTATGAATGGAGTCTCCTAAAATGAAAGAAAACCCCTCATATACATAATTCTGAACCAGATTTGGTGGCTCACACTTACAGTTCCAGCATTCCAGAAGCTGATACAGGAAGATTGCCTGGAGGCACTGGCCAGCCTATACTTCAAACCTTATTTCAAACAAACAGACTCATTCTGTCTCTGATAAGCTGTCTTACAAAATAAGAAGTATAAAATATATGAAATATATTTCTAGTTATGCCAATAAGTATTCACCAGCTAAACACAGAAATGGTGAAACTTACAGAGATACAACCTGAAAATTCAATCAAAATAATTTGTTTGAATTTATTTTATTTCCTTATTTCCTTATTTATTTGAAAACTGCAGACCTAAACTACAATTCATGCTTATCAGCTTTCTGCCTCAGAGGTACATCCATACCCCTAAAACATAGTATTTAACTAATTCCTCCAAGAGATAGTAGGCATGAGACAACACAGAGTAAAAACAGAAAAGCACTGAGAAGATAGGGCACCCCACACATTTCTCCTGAATGAGTGAATGAGTTGATTAACCAGTCAGGCATCAGCGTTCTCCACCTTTAACCAGGAAGTCAGAGGACCAGTGTGACAATTTACCCAGCCTCCTTCACGTTCTTGGTTTCTTCATAGCCACTAGACAACGTTTGACCAAGAGAAACAGGCAAGGGCAACGACCTGTTTGGTGATGAGCCTGGAAAGTGAGCTTGGGAGAGCAGAGGAAGAAGAAAAATGTCCATCCAGCATGTCCTGACTATGTCCTGAGAAGCATATACAGTGAATTTTCATGAGGCCCCTTGTATCACACTAATCTGACAGCTTCTTCTCACCAACCAGACACAAAAGGCCATGGTCAACCACAGCTCCCCAGCGGGCTTCCTCCTGCTGGGCTTCTCTGAACACCCACGCCTGGAAAAGATTCTCTTTGTGGTTGTCTTGTGTTCCTACCTCCTCACACTCCTAGGAAACACACTCATCCTCCTGCTGTCCACACTGGACCCCAGGCTCAACTCTCCAATGTACTTCTTCCTCTCTAACCTCTCCTTCTTGGACCTCTGCTTCACCACAACCTGTGTGCCCCAGATGCTGGTCAACCTCTGGGGACCCACAAAGACCATCAGCTTCCTGGGATGCTCTGTCCAGCTCTTCATCTTCATGCTTCTGGGGACCACCGAGTGCATCCTCCTGACAGTGATGGCCTTTGACCGCTATGTGGCAGTCTGCCAGCCCCTGCACTATGCCACCATCATCCACCCCCGCCTGTGCTGGCAGCTGGCAGCTGTGGCCTGGGCTATAGGTTTGGCTCAATCCATAGTTCAGATACCACCCACCCTCCGCCTGCCCTTCTGTCCGCATAGGCAGATAGATGACTTTCTATGTGAAGTTCCATCTCTAATTCGACTCTCCTGTGGGGATACCACCTATAATGAGATTCAGTTGGCAGTTGCAGGTGTCATCTTTCTGCTTGTGCCTCTGGGTCTCATCCTTGTCTCTTATGGTGCTATCGCCAGGGCAGTGCTGAGGACTAACACTTCAAAGGGACGCAGGAAAGCTTTCGGGACCTGCTCCTCCCACCTCATCGTGGTCACCCTCTTCTACAGCTCAGTCATTGCTGTCTATCTGCAGCCCAAAAATCCCTATGCCCAAGAGAGGGGCAAGTTCTTTGGGCTCTTCTATGCAGTGGGCACTCCTACACTCAACCCTCTTGTATACACCCTGAGGAACAAGGAGGTCAAGAGAGCATTCTGGAGGCTGCTAGGGAAGGATAGGGACTCTGGGGAGAACTGAGGGAGAAATACTTGTGTGCTTTCTGAATTAAAAGAGTTTCTTCATGATATGTAGGTTGTATTCATATATTTGTGCATATATATTATGTAACAATAATAATAATAACAGAAAAAGAAGCTATCAGCTTGAGAGGGGGAAGATGTGTGAGGAGTTGGAGAGTGGAATCTGGGAGGAGCTAGAGGTAGAAAAGGGAGGGGGAAAGTGATATAATTCTATTTCAATGAAAATATATTTTTGAAAAAAAATTAAATGTTCAGCTTCTAAGGCCCTACACCTGAGCCACTATAGTGGGACAGTGGGAGAGGGAGGGAGGGAAAGCGAGAACATGTGCATTTCCTTTACAGATCTTAAGTTCAAGCACTATCAACTCTTGATATTTCTCCTCTTTTCCATTGTATTTTATTGCCTTTGTTTCTATACATCCCCAAACTCTGCCTTGGTTGTTTCTTGATATATCTTCTCTCACCAGCTGTTATATCTGTATATCTGCATGTGCCATGTAAGCAAAGGCTTAGGGCATAACAAATCTGAAATTTGGAAAGATTTTGATCATCTTACAATGTGAGAGAATGTGATCATCTAGTGATATCTTAAGTCTCTGCCTATCATCTATCTCCTAACTCTGTCTATCTATCTATCTATCTATCATCATCTGTCTATCATCTATCTTTGCACCTTGGAGTCATGAGACATTTCCTTGAGGCCTCCCAGCTTCTGGCAGAGCATGGGGTTTTCTGCCTCATAACATTAGGATATAGCAACAGGACATGAGAGCTCTCTGCAACTAGAAACTGTGTCTTCACTGATGGAGGTTGTAACTTGAATGTGAGATGCCCCCTATGAGCTCATGTGTTTGATCATTTGGTCCACAGGTAATGGAACTCTTTTGGAATAGTGTGGAACCTTTAGGAATAGGCACCTGGCTGGAGGAAGTGGGTCACTGAGGCAGGCCTTGAGGTTTTAGAGCATAGATTCAGTTGCATCCACCCTCTGCTTCCTGATTGTGAATCCAGTGTTGCTCTGTTGCTCATATCCCTGCTACCGTGCTTTTCCATCTTGATGGACTGCATCCCCTCAATCTATGAGCCAAAAAAAACCCCTCACCCCTTATACTGATTCTTGTCAGGTTTTTGGTCCTAGCAACAACAAAAGTCGCTAAAACTGAAACAGGATTGACAGACTGAGAAAATGGAGGGACATGGAAAAGAAAGTAGCCCCTACCTCAGAATCTTGTTTAAGCCTTTACCAGCTGAGAATCCAGAATTGGAGTACAGTTAACATTTGTTATGAAGGTTGCCTACATAAAGGCACCATTCTTTAATATAGAGAAGTTTCCAATAAGAATGTTAAAATAATGAATCATGGCTTAAGCGTGTACTACTTTCAGGAATGACCTCTTTCCTCTCCCAACTATAAACCTGCAATTTTCTAAGACTCACACAAGAACCTCCAGTTATCATAAAAGACATGTCTTAGGCCCTATACAACCCTTGTCACCTATGGTTTCATCTGATCAGGTTGTATTCCCACCCAAGACACCTCAGGAGCTACCGTATAATCTCATTGACCAAATGCTGGTGGCCATTTCAGAGGAGCAGCAGGCGGCAATTGGAGTTCAAGGTGTCAGCCCACCAGGAGAAAAATCCCTGATGGGTGAATCTCAGACAGACAAGGCCCCAAGACCACAGACTCCAGAATGTCTTTTGCTTCTGCTGTGCCTTTACATGTTTGTGTCTGCCATCTTCCTCTGGTGTCTAGCATGGTGTGAATGGGTGTGGGAGATCCCTACTGCCTGTAATATAGTGTGTTTATACCATGGAAACATCATGTTCTACTGGGCATTTTTACCTGCGGACTATTATGAAGAGGATTTCTTCCTAAGCTGTATTGTCTAATTGATAATAATAATGTTAGTTTATAGAGTTTTGATGATTAAAAATAAAACAAGGAAGTGTCACACAGCTAGAACACATGAGTTTCTATTGAGGAGTCACATAGACTGTGGCTTAGGTTAATGATTAAGAAAAACAATTGAGCCGGGCGGTGGTGGCGCACGCCTTTAATCCCAGCACTTGGGAGGCAGAGCCAGGCGGATCTCTGTGAGTTCGAGGCCAGCCTGGGCTACCAAGTGAGTCCCAGGAAAGGCGCAAAGCTACACAGAGAAACCCTGTCTCGAAAAACCAAAAAAAAAAAAAAAAAAAAAAAAAAAAAAAAAAAAAAAAAAAAAAAAAAAAAAAGAAAAACAATTGAGTCCCAGTAGCCCAGCTAGCTTAAATTCTTTTAATCTTATGTTGGGAGATGTGTTTACCAGTCTCAGAGTGCATCATAGCTGAAACACAGCTTTGAAAATAACTTAAAGTTGGACTAAAATGTTTTTGTCAAATAGCTTTGAGGTGAAAAACCCAAAAAGGCAATCTAAAGTTTTGGAAAGGCACATAGTTGAATGATGAATTCATTAAGGTCAGGGAACAAGAACAAAGCAGCCCAATTATCATTGGGTGGTATGATAATTTTCTTGTTAGGGTTGGTTGATGACCAAAGGTGATGATTAATTCCTTGTACCCATTTCTGCCCTCAGTCTCCTGATATAAAAAACTATTGATGAGTGAGTATGCACCTTGAAGATTTAAAGTAGAGCTGACTGATTCTTTTTCATATATGAAAGTTTAGATTTGTGATCCCTTTAAGATTCCTTATAAGATTACCTTTCAAGATAAGTAAAAAAGTGATTGGACTTTTCTCTGTGACTGCAAAACATAACCTGCCAGTAAAAGAACTAACTGAGAAGAATACCCTGCTTGCTTACACTGTTAATCTGTAACAAGTTGCTTGGTTATGAATGTACATGGGTTCTTAGGGATAATTTGTTTCTCATCCATAATACATAAAATATTTAATCATGTAAAACATACTTTTTTTTACTTGTATTCATTGTAATCATTCACTTGAAAAACAAAATGTAACCACACTGTAATTTTTATATTGCTTGATAGATTTTGCTCAGGTATATAAGCTGTAAGGGAAAAAATAGAGAGAATGAGAAGGAAAACATCAAGAATGAGAAAATTAAGAGGAAAACATCAAGAGAGACAGAAGGGACACTTCCTGATAAGAATAGAGAAGAGAATGCAAAAGAAGAATAAAGAAAATGTCTGAAGGAAACCATCAAAAGAGTGTGTGAGTGTCTTTCCCCTTACCCCCTCATAAAGAAAGTCATAGCATGCTGACTATGGATTCCCTTTGAGCCCTGCGCTGCTGGAGGCTGGTCCCAGGCAGGGAAAACCAAACAGAGGTGGGGGGATATTCTTAGCAACCTTTTGAGATATCATTGAAGGCAGCCAAAAATAATGGCAGCTAATGAGAAAATAAAAAGCAACTGTCTCTTGTGAAGTCCAAATACACACTTTCTGTGTGCTCTACCCTGCTCTGAGTACCTCTGTCTCCAATGCTTGAGTCTACAGAGAGTTTCTTCCTAATAAAATCAAGCTCTGCCTCACATTGGCTCACACTGAATTTCTTGTCTTCAGCAAACTCATCCCATCCTCACTCATGAAGAAGTCTGTGAAAGAACTCCACAGGCTGCTGCAAGAAGCAGTGTGTCTCTCACCCACACCCCACTGCTCCTGACAACGCAGTGGGGTATCTCAACACTATGCCATCATACACTCCTTTTGATTCAGTGTCATCCTTTTTGAAGTATATAAATAATAAACTGCCTGCTGTTAAGGTGCGTTCATATGTAATGAGACTGAGAAGGAAAAAGAGACATTGTCTTCATGTCTGGTGAGGGACCCATGCTCCTGTATATAACCCCTCACATACATTACTGTAAGCAAACCTAGTATAACTCACTGGGTTACACACAAAAAAAGGACATGAAAATAGAAGGGGAAAGAGAACAATGGGAGGAGAAGGAGAACAAGAAAAGGTAATAGAGGATGAATATGATTAAAATACATTGCACACATATGTGAACATGTCATACTGGAACTCAATGTACTAACTAATACATGATAATAAAAAGTATTTTTAAACCTAAGTACTTCATTTGTGTAAACTGTACCTGAATTTTGACAGAGAGATAAGAAATAAAATACAATACTTGGTTATTGAAAGGGTTGAAACGAGACTTAAGAGAAATAAATGGGACACCCGAGAGGACACCATAGATAAAATAATGCCATTATGCCCCCTAGTGACACAAAGGAGAGTGTGACATTTTCAACATGGAATATTCTAATGGAATGCAGACCTCCATCCTCTCTGTTCTTAACATCATTGTCAACAGTGGCTAATTAATCATCAGTGGGCAGAGGCCCCAGAGTCCTGGCAGAACTAATGAGCACGTGTCCCTGTGGGATGGGAGTCCCAGGGATCCCTCCTTTCTATTTCCAGTGCTAGCGAAAGAAAAGGTAACTTTTTGACTTTGGCAGAATATTGGTGGTAAGATGCAGTGAGTGACTGATCCTGGAAGCAGTCTCCTTTGGTTCAAGTCTCAGCTCAGATTATATTGTCCTGACTAAATTACTTAACCTGTCTGTGTTTCCATCTCTTCATCGGAAATCAAAGGCAAAACATGTTAGTCATATCCAGGCAATGCCATTGTTGCAAAGCACTTTGGAAGTTCAGAGTGGCGTTCCCATCCACACCACTGCTGAGTCCTGAGGCCAGTGCTTTCCAGGGAGCACAGCCATCAGTTTGCTCTGTTTTCATGCTGTGACGATCAAGTGGAGGCTTCATTCAGACCAGAAGCTCCTCATCATAGGGAAGCCTTGGCTGCCCAGGGGTGAGAAGATTCGACCTGACCGTGGTAAGTCCTGGGATTTTTCTCCTTCTACAGTCCATCAAAATCTCCCATGTCTTTAAGAGTGGAGGCACCTCTGGCACACATTGTATTGTCCTGAACAAATTATTTGACCTCTCAGTGTTTCTCTTCATCTGTAAACAAAGGTAGAATACAGTCATTGTATCTGAGTTACACAATTGATGCAGAATGCTTGAGTACCTGATAGGAAGTCAAACAGGGTTCAGAATCCAGGACTGGCCTTATTGGCTGTGTAGTGTTGGGCAAGTTGGTTCAATGTTCTGGACTGTAAAGGGAGAATAAGGTTAATGATTATTCTAGAAATATAGCATGGGGCCAGATATGCAGAAAGCTCCCAGCAGATGGTAACAGCGTTGAGATGTGAACACCATCAAGAGCAGATATGGCAAGCCATTCCCTGTAACCTTTTAGTGCATGGCTAGGTCTTTAGTGATCAGAAAAGAAAAAGAACACATTTATGAAAATGAAAATAACTGGAAGACTGTCAAGTTTGAGTTTTGGTGGTGTCTCAGAATTAGAAGATCAGGTAAAAGGGTAATGTTTTGTAATAGCACACACACACTCACACTCACACACACACATACAAAAAAAACACCAGACAGTCAAAGGATGATGAACATTGACATTGAACATTGAAGAGCTTGAAAATAATAAACACAAAATGATCAGTAGAGTTGCTGTGGGATATCTTTCTGTATGCTGTGAATATATGTTGCTCTCATTGGTTGATAAATAAAGTTGTTTGGCCAATGGCAAGGCAGAATAAGGTTAGGCAGTACATTCAAACTGAAGACAGAGAGGAAGAATGGTGGAGTCCGGCAGAAGCTGAGGGCCACCACCAGGAAGGAGAAGCAAGATATGAGAGAACAGGTAATGTCATGAAGCCATGTGGCAAAACATAGATTAATAGAAATGGGTTGAATTAAGTTATAATAACTAGTTAATAATGAGCCTGAGCCATAGGCCATACAGTTTGTAATTAATATAAGTCTCTGGGTGTTTACTTGGGACCACCATGGGACTGGGCAGGACAGGGTGAAACATAGGAAAACTTCCAGCTACAGAAAGTAAGAAAGCCAGGGATGCAGGAAGGGTATTGAAGAGTCCACAGCTGAGTAAGAACTGCTTTTTAGTAACACAAGAATGTAGTGCTATAAAACAACATAGGAGAACTTATTATAAATAATCCAAATAAGAGCTGTTGCCTCTTAAGAGGTAGGAAGTGAGTGTGATCAGGAGAGGCATGCAAAGGGCTTTTAAGACTTAAACAGCCTTTTGCAGAAATTATTAACAATAAAGTATTTAAAATTCATGTTGGGGCCTCTTCCCTAAGAGAGATTAATGTGGGAGGAAGAGAAGGGAGGAGATTCAGTTAAGCTGGAGGAGGAAAGATGGCACAAATTTTTTTTTCCTTTGAGACAGGTTCTCTCTATGTAGACCTGGCTGTCCTGGAACTCGCTAGAAAGACCAGGCTGGCCTTGAACTCACAGAGATATTCCTGCCTCTGCCTCTGGAGTTCTGGGATTTAAGGCATGCACCACCACACCCAGCTGGCACAGAGCTTCTAACACACAAGGGACCTGTGAGGACACACAGCCCAACCATCCCCTCTGCGGGTCCCACCCATCAGCCTGCAGGGACCCTGCCCCTAAGCTGTCACAGTGGCGTCACTGCCTGCCACTTTCAAGGCCCAGATCTCCTCTCTTTCACAGCAGTAGCATCAGCTCCTGCAGGATGCAACACTGTTCTCTACAGCTCTGCCTCTCCCCAGACTCAGTAATTTACTTCATGGCTTTCGGTTATGGGTTCTTCTGTGGATGTTGAATGTCCTGCTGGGTTTTTCAAAGTCATGAGACCACTCACCTTTCCAGCCTATGAGCTCTGACACATGGTCTGTTCATATTGTTCAATATTTGAAGGAGTTCCTTAGCTTAGTGACTTAATGTGGGCTGCTACAGTAAACTGGTGAACTAAAAATGGTATGTGAATTTTGACTTGATCCTATGCAAAAAGCAATCCTATTGGCCTGGGTTTTTTTTGTTGTTGTTGTTTTTGGGTTTTGTTGTTGTTGTTGTTGTTGTTGTTGTTTTAACTGAACACAAGCTAGGGTTATATAGGAAGAGGAACCTCAGTTAAGAAAATGCCACCATCATCTTGTTCTAGCCAAGTCTATATGACATTTTCTTGATTAATGATGGAAAGGCATACCCTACTGTGGGAGGTGGTTCTGGATTGTATAAGAAAGCAAGTATAACAAGCCATGGAAAGCAAGTCAGTAAGTAGCACTCCCCCATGGTCTCTTCTTCATTTCCTGCCCTGACTTCTCTCAGTGATGAAGTATAATCTGAGAGCTGTAAACTGAAATAAACGATTTCCTTCCCAAGTTGCTTTTGGCCATGGTGTCTTATCACAGCAATAGAAACCCTAACAAAGGCACCTCTGAAGGTATTGGAACAATGGACAACTTTGGAATATAAGGTGGTCGTGAGGCAACAGTACTATATCCATTATAATTTCTTTGAATTCGGGGCTGGAGAGGTGTCTCAGCAGTTAAGAACACTGGTCGCTCTTCCAGAGAACCTGAGTTCAATTCCCAGCAACCACATGTTGTCTCACAACCATCTATAATGGGTTCTGATGCTCTCTTCTGGCATAAAATTGTACGTGCAGATAGAGCACTCATATACATAAAATAAAATAATAAATCTTTAAAAAAACTAAAAAATAAATTCTTTGAATTCACTTCCTGTACAAAGTTTATTTCAGAGACCACATTATTGTAGCCAATGCACAACAAAATATGAAGGCAGAAAGGAGCTTGATGCCATCAACTTGTTCTCAATGACTCAGAATAAAAATGGTACTCTGGGAATATAGTATAAGTGAGTAAAAAAAAAAATTAAATGGTGCATCTTTTAAAAAGTTATATAGGAGACTTTAGAACCACTCTGGTAAATTTTATGAATATGTAACCTTGCTTCAAAACAAAATATTTGAAAATGTATCTGAATGATATTAACTAAGAATTATGCAAAACCAAACTCTACTTTCGATGTCCTATATTTCAACATAATGGTGCTGAGATGGGGGATCTCAAGTACAAGTCCATTCAGGACTACATAGTCATTTTTAGATCAGTCTCTGCAATGTAGTAATACCCTGTCTTTAAAAAGGAAAGGGAGGCAAGAAGGAGAGAGGAAGGGGGAGGGAAGGAGAGATGGAAACAGGAAGAAGGGAGGGAGGGAACAGGGAAGGAGAAAGGAGTAAATTTTACTTAAGGTACAAAATTTTGCCTTATACGGAAAGAAAATAATTCAATAAACCTACTTCAGATTTCATTAGCAAACTACATGGGGTTTTTTGGTCATTGTTTTATTTTGTGAGGCAGAGCTTCACTCGGTAGCCCAGGCTGTCTCAAACTCACAGGTCCTCCTACCAAAGCCAGACTGATGCCAGAAATGTATTGTCTCTCTTTTTCTTTCATTTTTAGAAATTATTTTTATGGTTTTTAATTATGTGTGTCTGTGTCTGTGTCTGTGTATGAGCATGCACACATGTGCACAGGTGACTGAGGAAGCCAGGGGAGTCAGATCCCCTGGAACAGGAAGTCTGGTAGTTGTGAGTGGACCAACATGAGTGGGGAACCCAATTCAAATTTTCTGTGAGAGTAGTTCATGCTCTTAACCATTTAGTCATCTCTCCAGCCCCACAATTCTATGTTCTTGAGGAATTATGTCATATAGTACCAGGTGACAATCATTGTAGATCTAACACGTTTTTCTTAAATTTTTCCACATACATATATTAGAAAGTTGAGATAAGGGTTTCTCACTTAAAGGGAAAATATTTGTTCCAATTTTATGAGTCATAAAGATTTTTTTATTTAATTTTAATTTTATTTTATGTGTATGGGTATTTTGCCTGAATGTATGTATGTATGTAGGTATGTATGTATGTATGTATGTCTTCTGGTATAATCTTCTGCAAACATGCACTAAATAGAACACAAATGCTACAAGAAAGTAAGATAAGTCCTTGCTATTATTTATCATCAGATCATTAATCAGCCACACAATTCATTGTCATTCCTATCACACTGAAGAAACAACTTCAAAAGACCAATGTTCAGATCATAAAATATGCTTAGCAAATGTTTGTAGTGACAATGAAAATTCATTAGTGAATCCATGTTTTTAATTAGCCTCTTTTGCCCTTAACCAAACAATCAGAGGCTCCAGTATGAGGACCTACCTGTTCCTGGTTTCCTTGGGACCACCAAAAGCAGTAGGAGAAGACCAGGAGCAGTAGGAGAACATAAGGAGCTGCTGGGTCAGGTGCCCAAGAAAGCAAGGGCAGAAATGTCCAAATAGCAGAACTTCATGACATATCAAATTGTGATGATGGGAGAGCAACTTCAGCTGGATTCATAGCAGAAACGGGCCATGGTCAACCACAGCTCCCCAGCGGGCTTCCTCCTGCTGGGCTTCTCTGAACACCCACACCTGGAAAAGATTCTCTTTGTGGTTGTCTTGTGTTCCTACCTCCTCACACTCCTAGGAAACACACTCATCCTCCTGCTGTCCACACTAGACCCCAGGCTCCACTCTCCAATGTACTTCTTCCTCTCTAACCTCTCCTTCTTGGACCTCTGCTTCACCACAACCTGTGTGCCCCAGATGCTGGTCAACCTCTGGGGACCCACAAAGACCATCAGCTTCCTGGGATGCTCTGTCCAGCTCTTCATCTTCCTGTCCTTGGGCACCACCGAGTGCATCCTCCTGACAGTGATGGCCTTTGACCGCTATGTGGCAGTCTGCCAGCCCCTGCACTATGCCACCATCATCCACCCCCGCCTGTGCTGGAAGCTGGCAGCTGTAGCCTGGATGATGGGGCTGCTCCAATCCATAATCCAGACACCTCCCACCCTCCGCCTGCCCTTCTGTCCGCACAGGCAGATAGATGACTTTCTATGTGAAGTTCCATCTCTAATTCGACTCTCCTGTGGGGACACTACTTTTAATGAGATTCAGTTGGCTGTGTCCAGTGTCATCCTTGTGGTTGTACCTCTGAGCCTCATCCTTGTCTCTTATGGTGCTATCACCAGGGCAGTGCTGAGGATAAACTCTGCTGAAGCATGGAAAAAGGCTTTTGGGACCTGCTCCTCCCACCTCATCGTGGTCACCCTCTTCTACAGCTCAGTCATTGCTGTCTATCTGCAGCCTAAAAATCCCTATGCCCAAGAGAGGGGCAAGTTTTTTGGTCTCTTCTATGCAGTGGGAACTCCCACACTCAACCCTCTCATTTATACCCTGAGGAACAAGGAGGTAAAAAGGGCATTATGGAGGCTGTTAGGAAAAAATGGGGACTCCAAAAATACCTAGAAGAGAAATACTTATGGCAGGAGGATTGCTAGGCCAGCTTGGTAGACACATTAAGATCTTTTGAACAATACTGGGAAGAAATTGGTAATTGGAGCATGAATGACTGGTGCATACAACAGGTGAGATGTGAAGGCAGCAATGGGAACCTGAGTTACCTACTTATGAGTCTTGCTTCAACTCTAGTTCTGCTCCTGTTACATCAAGATGTACTGCTACTATACTGTAGTGAAGGATGCTGTAACCATATGGTTTTCAGGTGGTTGACAGAACCCCACTAATGGTAAGCATTTATAGCCTTGCAGACATTAGATATCCCACAGCTTGGAGCCTTGTCTCTTACAGGGTTCAGTGAATAGCAGCAGGTCTGAAACATTTCCTAATGGATACTTTTCTTGCAACTGTAGGATAACCTTGACCAAGAACTCTAGAGGCCAAGAATTCCTTCCCACTATTGATACTTCAATACTCCAGAGTATGGTGGGTGAGATGCGCAAAACAGCAATGCACTGGGACAACAGCCCTTTCCTGCTTTGTGTTCTAGTCAGTCATCAGTAAGTGGTTCTGTGAAGAAAGCTCATCACTGAAATTTGCTTCCCCTATGGCCAAAGCATTAGTAGTTTACTACCAGTGGTGTTAAATGTGAACACAAGAATTTGTCCTTACCCCGCCACACTAGTGGAAGACCATGAACTGTAGACTAGTGGCTGTGGAGCCCCCATGGGACTGGACTAGGCCCTCTGGATATGGAAGATGGTTGTTTGGCTTGAACTGTTTGGGGGTATCCAGGCAGGGGGATTGGGATCCATCCCTGGTGCATGAGCAGGCTTTTGGGAGCCCAGTGACTGTGGTGTGATGCCTTGCACAGTCTTGGTGCAGTGGGAGGGTCTTGGACCTGCCTAGGCTCAGTGTGCTAGGCTCTGCTGACTCCCCATGGGAAACCTTGATTTGGGGGATGTGGGGGGGCTAGAAAGGGAGGGCTGGAAGGTAAAAGGAGGGGGGATCTGTGGGTGGTATGTAGAGTGAGTAGAAAATTTCTTAATAAAAAAAAAAAAAAGGATTTGTCCTTACTTTGAAGAGATGTCATGTCAGGGTCCAGACTACCAGACCTCTAACAGCTTCAAACATTTGAGGAGCCCTAGATCTTTATGAGTTTTATTTCCCACTCTCTGAACTAACTATTATAAATGGCCCCAGTACACTTCCCCTCCTGGCTGACCCCGATTAACCAATACAATTTCAATTAAGCTGATGATTAAATTTTCTGGAATTCTACAAAACAGTTGTTAAGCTCAATCATGATTAAAGATTAAATTAGATGACTGTCAGTAGTAGCTAATACTTTCAAAATCCTGTGAAAATACTCTATGTGGCAAATTTTACAAACAAGGGAAGATCCTGATACAAAACACTTTGTATAAAATTCTCAGAAATTTCACATCCTGAAGGAAATGTTCTGAAAGCTATAAATAGGCTATTTATCAATGAATCTTATTAAAATAAGTCTTGGGCCAGGCAATGATGGTGCATGCCTTTAATCCCAGCACTTGGGAAGCAGAGGCAGGTGGATTTCTGTGAGTTCGAGGCCAGCCTGGTCTACAGAGTGAGTTCCAGGACAGCCAGGACTGTTTCACAGAGAAACCCTGTCTCAAAAAAAAAAAAAAAGTCTTGGGCTGTTATTTCTAATTTCACTCTTAAAAATAGAAGTAAAATGTTTTAAACCTGTCTTCTTTAAGCAATAGTATATATTTTAGGTAATGTGTATTTAAAATCAAATTTAGGTTTTGGTACGTGTATTTTTAAACTGGGTTGAATCAATGGATGGATTGAAATGTCTTTTGAACAGTAGAGGAGCTGATGTTTGTGTGGTTTTTAAACTATTTTGATTAAAAGATCATTAAAAATAAGTTTCTGAAAAATTTGGAAATTTGTTATTGGTTTCATGTGATAGGTTCATGCTATATAGATGTGTTCATGTGTGTGTGTGCATGCATGCATGCATGCATGTGTGTCTGCATGTGTGTGGAGAACCTCTAGAAAATGTTATCTTTTGTGGATTTATATGTTTAACATTTCAAATTTACTTTATGTGTATGTGTGACTACTTGAGGATATATATGCAAACCATGTATGTGCAGGAGTCCTCAGAGGCCAGAAGAAAGTGCTGGATCCCCTGACACTGGAATTATCGGCAATTGTGAGCTGCAGGGTGTGTTCTAGGATCTGAACCCAGGTGCTCTGTAAGAACAATAAGTACTCTTAACTACCATCTCTCCAATTCCCTATATTTTTTAAATATTGCATGTGACTCCTCATCAATATTTCTGAACACATTTCTAGAACTTTCTTTATTTCAGACAGTATTTAGATTAACAAATGTTACCTTTTTCATATTCTGAAAAATATATTCAAAATACTCATGAGAAAATGATCATAATCAAGTTCACAAATCTGTCCAATTTTTCTTTTCATAGATGGTCATTATTATCATGTGCCTACAACTAATATTCTCTTCCTCATATAAATCTTGTCATGTTTACATTGTTACAACTCTCTTTTCAGTCCTCATTTGTGCTTGTGCCTCATGCTGTTTTACCAGAGATCATCACAATCATTCCTCTGTCCTAGAGGAGGAAAAGAATTGTTATGAGGTTGGGGAAATGGCTCAGCAGTCAAAAGTATTTGCTGCTCTTCCAGAGCATTCAAGTTCTGTTTCCCATACATGAATCAGGCAGCTCACAACCACCTGTAACTTGAGCCCCAGGAGATCCTGAATCCTCTTCTGGCCTCTGTAGGCATCCCTCTTGCACAACATACACATAAATTTAAAAAAAAATATTTTAAAAGAATAGAATTATCTGACAGTGGTGGTGCATGCCTTTAATCCCAGGACTCAGGAGGCAGAGGCAGTCAGATCTCTGTGAGTTCAAGGCCAGCCTGGTCTACAGAGCTAGTTCCAGGACAGCTAGGGCTGCTACACAGAGAAACCCTGTCTTGAAAAACACAAAACAAAACAAAAGAATAGAATTATCATAATAAATCTGTCCAAACAGCATTAAAAAGTTAATTTACACAAACTCAAACTGAAATAAATTGTAATAAAATAAAGATAATAAATATTTAAACTCATGATTTCCCAGTTGTTTTATTTATGCCCTGTGACTATTTATTTCCATGACTTCTAGACAATAAAATATTTTATCATGCACTGACAGCAGTGTGCAACTGTGCATTTCTTTCCAATTCTATGTGGTTGTGACATATCATATCAACAGGTTTATTTGTTCATTTGTTTGTTTGGTTGGTTGGTTGGCTATTTTTTTGAGACAAGATCTCACGATGTAGCCTTGCCTATCCTGGAACTTGTTATGTAGATTAGTCTGACCTTGAACTCACAGAGATCCATCTGCCTCTGACTCCTGGGTGCTAGGATTAAAGATATGCTCCACCATAGCCCCACCATATTGACAGTTAAAAATTGGCCACAGTGGAAATAGTTACACTACAGACATGCATGCTGTGCACACCTTTAATACCAGCATTAGGAAGACTTGCAAATTTCATCCTTGGATACATAGGGAGACCCTATATAAACCAAGAAGGGAAGAAGGATGGGACAGAGGAAAAGGGACAAACAGAAGGACAGACCAAGGGAAGAAGGCTAAGTTAAAATACAGAAATCAATACATGCTCTATCTCAGGCTTGTTTGCCTGAAGGAAAAGACACTGTCAATGTCTCGCTGGAATAGAGTTATGAAAGAGTTCTGAAACAAACTTGAAGCAAAGCTGTAGTGTGAACTTAAATCCACATCTGTAAATCTAACTTGAGTCTGGTCCTTCTTCATAATAGCATCTGAAAAGAGCCTATTCAGTACTATAATGCAGAAAGACAGTAATGCAGACCCAGACCCAAGCATGAAAACCAGGCATCACTACTACAGCTAGAGCTAGTCCTTAGTTTCCTTTGTAGGATTCCATCATTTCTAAGATACATCTTGGCTTGGGGATAATTAGAATAGTTAATTGCATGGCTGAAGGAATAGGGTCAATCATCTTTTGTATCCTGCTCAGTGTTTTTACATTGTGATAATCTTTCGGGTTATAATACCATTTTCTTGTCTCTGTAGAAGAATGTAGATTCAGGTTTTTAACACTGCTACAACTGTCACTCAACACACCAAAGAACCACTGTGGGATTCTGCCATCTACTAAATATACACATTTGAGTTACATATTCTGAGTTCAAAACTGAGATCCAAGTATAGTCATGCCCGTGATACATCCACCTTCATTTGAACTAGGATAATGGAACCTGTATTCCTATAATGATGCTTGGTTTACATTAGATGAGGGGTAGACAAATATCCTAAGTCTTCTACAAAACTAAGATTTGATCATCCTGTATTATTAGAGTATGGGATGTTTCAGAAGAATTGAGCAGAAAGGGAAGAATTTGAGAGAACTGAAAAGCATAGTCCTATAGGATAAATGAAAGAATTAAGAGGAATGTCTGGATGCTTGTTACGAGATACTTGATCTCACTTTGATACCCCAAGACAATGTTAATAAAGTTAACCTTGACTCAATGGGCAAAGCTAGCCACTAGATGATCAAAATTAGGCACAGAGAAGCCAGGAACACAGATAGAAAAGACACACAGGAAGGAGTAGGGAGAGACTTAGAGATTTTGTACTTCTTCAGTCTGTGATGTGTGGAGAGAGAGGCACTTGCTGAGTCTTCCATAAAAAAGGGAAGGTTAGCTGGTTACTCCTCCGCTTCTTTAATATATCAGGTTTTCACTCCAATATCTGACTCCCAAGTCTTTCCTGGTAAGAGAACAACTTAGATAAAAAACAACATCAGGAGTCCAACAGATGGAACTAGTTCATATGGTGGCTTCTGAAGCTGCCACTTCTCCCTACCACTCCTTGGGCAGCTTCTCCCACCACCACCACCCCAAGCCTTCCCCTTGTGTCACAGGCTTCGCCCATTGAGGTCCCCCTACATCCACCCCTGGGGTGGATGCTGCATGTACCTGCCTCACGACACCCATTCAATGCCCGCTTGGGCTTCTGCTGCTGCTAATCCTCAACAATACACACAGGACACTCCAATGCTCTGTCATCCAGATGGACCCTGCACTGGTGCCCACCCACACCATCACCACCTGCTTTGCCCTCAGTGCCCACGGTGTCAGCCTGGCTGCCTAGGTACACCGCCATGCCTGCATGACCCCCCCATATCACCTGTTGCCACTGTCACAGCCACCACTGCTGTGGACAAACTGAAAAGTCAACAGATTTGATAAGGCACTTGGGAAGGCCAAAGAAAAACATTTCCCACATTAAAAATGGGAAATATCACAATGCAGGGAGTTAGAACTCTCTACAGTGCAACAATGGATGGCTTGAAAATGGAAAAAAATAAATGAAATTATAACCAACTTAGCTAGGATTGACATAATGTTGATTACAGTTTTTATCAGTTTGGTAACTCATATTTTACCCTTTAAAAAGTAGTTTGATAACTGTGCTAAATATGAAAAATTGACTGATAAAACACAAGCCTTAGAAAGACTTACTATTGATAAGATACAAGCCTTAGAAAGACATACTAAGGAAAATAAGAAAAATATCCATACACAGACAGGGAAATTTAGACCAGAACCTACCACATCACCACATGATGAAACCCAAGAGGGGTGGCCTAAGGCTATTAGAAAACCAACCTTAGTATATCCAGTTACTATACAAGAATGACCAGCAGATAGGTGCCCACAAGGTTATGTAGAAGTTAAATGGAATCTTATAGAAATGTTAGATTTGAGATGTAAAGAAGCAGTCATTTCATATGATAAGCATTCATCCTGTGTGAAACAGATGTTAAATTCACAGGCAACCCAGAACAAAATTATTCCCCTAAGACTGGAAACATTTAGCTACAGCAATGTTGGAAGCTGATCCTCAGTTACAATGGACAGCATGGTGGAAAGAAGCTAGGGCCATAGAACAATGAAATAGGGCTTGAGGTATTGATATTTCCCAAGATCAGTTCCTCAGTAAAGGCCAATATGCTGATTTGCAAAGACAGTCTGGATTTGATTAGCACATTTTGGCCCTTCGTTGGTCAGCAGCTTTGAATGCTTGGAACAAGGTTGAAGAATCAGGAAAGAAGTCTGAGTCATTTACTAAAATTATACAAGGCCCAAAAGAAGCATTTCTGATTTTTTATAAAAATTGGCTTCAGCTATAAACAGAATGTATCAGATCCAGAAGTCAGACAAATACTAACTGAATATTTGGCTTTTGAAAATGCTAATTCAGAATGTAAAATGATGATTAGGCCTTTAAAGGCAAGATCAGAACCCATAGATGAATGGATTAGAAATACAGCTGATATTGAATCTCATGCTTATGATGCTGTTTTGATAGGAAAAGTGATTTCTATTTTTTTTTTAAATCAAAATGTCAGAAGTTTTAATTGTGGTAAACAAGGTCATCTGAAAAGGGATTGTAGGCAAGGCATTCCTAGAAACACTGATTTTTCTAAAGATAGTGCAAACAGAAGCCCCAGCCTTCTGGAGCAGAAGGTGTGGCAAAAAGCTGGCACTCGGCTAATGAATACAGATCAACAATGGACAGGCAAGATAACCCTTTGCCATCGACAAATGCCTTAGGGGGACTCTTACAGGTCCCAATATCAAATTTGGTTCAATCATTCCCTGTCAGCATGGGAGAAACTCATCCACAAAATAAAAGACTTAATGCCTGTTTTAAAAACATCCATGCTCTGGATGTGATCAAGGACACAACAGCTTCAGTAGATACAGCAAAAATTCAGGAGATTGCGCAGTGCTTTATTAACTTCAAATTTTTTAAATGATAATGAGAAAGGAACGACAGCTGTACAGAGACACTGGACAATACAAAAATTGCTAAACTGAATCATCCTATATATTTTAAGAATGTGTTGGGCTCAAAATGGAAACCAAGGTATATCTTATGTTGGGAAAGAGGTTTTGCTTTTGTTTCCACAAGAAAAGAAAAGCTGTAGATACCATCAAGATTGATAAAGATTAGATTGGAACTGGAAAGACCTCTTGACTGGGAAAGGTAATAGTTCATTAAACAGCTTGGTCATTCTATCCAAACCAACTCATAAGACTAACAAATGCCTTTCATTTGATTAGATATAAAAGAAAAAATCTTATTAAAAGATAATACTGTTTCTGTTGCCAAAAAACATTTTGTCTTAGCAAAGATATAACTTACTAAAAAAGGAATTACCCAAAGTTAGGGGCAAGGTTTTGTGTTTGTCTTTCCAGGAAAATAAAAGCATCCAACCAAGGAATCTAAAGACCACTAGACAAATGAGACACTGGAAGGATGAATCATCAAGAAAAAAATGTACCTCCCCCCCAAAAAAAGTAAATTGGCCTACTGGTATAGCACACATCCAACAGGGTAAAATTTCATCAATCTCAAATGTTTGTTTCTGCTGCTCTCTGCAGGCAAATGGTCCATCTGTGATCCCAATTTAATTAAAATTTTAAAGCTGGCTTTGGAGTTGGAGTGTGACTCTCTCCTTCTCTAAGCCCATTCATGCTTATTAAAAGAAAACCCAAAATCTGTCTCATGTTAGAAGAGCTACCTGGTATGGGACAGAAGAAAACAAAACTTATGGGACTATTCTATTGCCATTAATCTCATCATTTTTTAGTTTCCATATGATTCTTTAAAACTTCCTTAAGGTACAAATATTATCTCAAAATCTGTAAGATTATTATATATATTTAAGCTTTCTGTTGTGATTTTAATGGTCATATAGAGTTCTAGTTCTAAAAATAAGCTTCATCTAGCTTCCTGTATGTGATTTCAGGCTTGAGTCTAAGTCATGTAACTAGGAACTAAGTGTGTGTACTCCGAATGTATTAACAGATTGTGGTCCTTTAACCTCTCAGAGATCTGCTGCATACGACATTTAAAATGCTTAAGTTTTCTGCAGTGAACTGTGACCATTCCTGGCAGTGACATTTGAGGTCTCCAAGATGATGAGGCCCTACAAAGAATCCGCCTGGATTGTGGTAATACCACTAAGCTGACAACCACCACCCAAAGATCAACTTCAGACTACAAACTGCTCAAGACAACTTCAAAGTGGTTAGCTAAGGTGGTCCAGCCTCAGACTACTCCAGCCAGTTCTTCAGATAAGCTCTGCACTTTCCCATCACATTGAGACTGGACAACTGCTAGCTCTCCCAGGACTTGACCATTATCTCAATTTTCTCAGGGTCCCCTAAAAATGCTGTTACTCACAAACAGCAAAAAATAATTTTAAGAACATGATGCCCAAATCCCCAAGAGGTGGGGTGGGTGATTTTTGGTCATTTGGTGGGTCATGACCCATTTTGGGGGGTTGGTTGCAAGTTGTTATTGGTAATGGTCAGGGAGGAAACTAAGCAAAAGAGGTTAGATTCAGGGATCTTTTTCTGAAAAGATAAAAAAAAAAGGGGGGGGGATATAGGAATGATGATAAAAATGTAGATTATTGAATCTACTTTTAAACTAAAAAGCAACTATTAATCTCAAATATATTACATTGGTATGGTTTTTTGTATATTGGTACAAATTTAAGGTTATTTTTGTTTTAACACACTGTATATATGTTTATACTCTTGTTTAAGGTATTGTACTTATGCAGCTCATTTAAAAATATAAATCTAGTCCTTTAAAGCTATTATTATAAACTATTTAGGATATTTAAGAAATATAAGTTATAGTTAGTCATCTATAACAATCAAACTTATAGTCATGTTAGGTATGTTTTCAAGGTCAAATAGACATATTTTAGATAGATGATCTTTAAACACTTCAGAAATCTACTGAATATGGCATTTAAGATTTTTTAATAACATAAGACTTTCCATGACAGTCTTCTCCTGGCAACACTAAACTACTTCAGAGAAGAAGATGGGCATCAAAGTACCTCCATAAGGAGTTTGCTTTCATTGTGGCAAAGTTAGCCACTGGGCAAGAAACTGCCTGTGCCTTGACTGCTGACAGTATGCTGTCCAAATTGGACAAACAGGATACAAAAGAAGGCAACTACCAAGCTTTGCCAAGACAAGGTTGTAGATGTAACCAACCGTCTTATTAAATAAGAAACACAGAGCCGATTCAGAGAAGAAAGCCAAGAGGTCAGAGCTAAGAGCCTCACCCTTCCTGATTCAGCGATCCTCTTCAGTCAAGAGAGCTCTCTGAAAGGGACCTACTTCCTATGTGTATGTCTTTATATAGTCTAGCTGTTCTGCCTTCTCATTGGTTGTAAACCCAAACACGTGACTGCCTCGTCACTGCCTGTATGTACAGCCCTCCAGGTCCTCTATGGTATTGAGATTAAAGGCATGTGCCACCGCTGCCATGCACTTGCTATGGCTCTAATAGCTCTGACCCCCAGGCAACTTTATTTATTAACATACAATTAAAATCACATTTCAGTACAAGTAAAATACCACCACACAAGGTAGGACAGTCCTTCAAAATTCCTGCTTTCTCAGAGAAGTCTTTCAAATATTCTAGGCCTGTAGATTGAAGATGGATGACCCAACATTGGAATCTTAGTGACTATCCAGGCAGCCAGCTCTCTGTGTCACTTCTATAGTTTTGGAAGTTGTTTGCTCTGCACTTCCTGTTTTCTCAGGTGGTATTGTATCCTTCTTGATGGGGGATGAAGACTAGATAATTATACGATTTTCTTTGTTACCAAACTCAGAAAAGAAATTTACAAAACAGATATAAAGCTTGTGAAGTTGAGAGGCATGAAAGCTTACGTTGTTTACTAAGAAAATGTTTTAAGATCTAAAAAGATGTTTTTAGGCTGGTAATACAAGTTAGGATAAAAAATGATTTAGGTAGGGCGGCGGTGGCACACGCCTTTAATCCCAGCACTTGGGAGGCAGAGCTAGGCAGAGCTCTGTGAGTTCGAGGCCAGCCTGGTCTACAGAGTGAGGGCCAGGACAGGCACCAAAACTACATGCAGAAACCCTCTTGAAATAAAAAAAAAAAAAAAAAAAAAAAAAAAAAAGAGGAAGAAATATATGGGCTGGAGAGATGGCTCAGCAGTTAAGAGCACTGGCTGCTCTTCTAGAGGTCCCGAGTTCAATTCCCAGCACCCACATGGTGGCTCACAACCATCTGTAATGAGATCTGGCACCCTCTTCTGGCGTGCCAGGCACACATGCAGGCAGAACAGTGTATATATAACAAACATATAAATCTTTTTTAAAAAATGATTTAGGTATAAAACTTTGGACTCACCAAGATAGGATAGATAATTTTTTCTTCAAATTTGTCAAATAAAAATGGACTGGACATTGTAAATGCAATTCTTACTTGACAACTATTCTTATTGTATATAGTTTTACTGTGTTAGACTTAAAACCTTTCCTTTTTATTTAGACAAAAAGGGGGAAATAGTGCAGGATATTTGACTGCACTGTGACACCGAGACTGTGTTAATAAAATTAACTTTGAATCAGGGCATGGAGCCAGCAACCAGCAAACCAGAATTGGCCATAGAGAAGCCAGGAATATGGATAGAGAAGACACAGAAAGGAATAGGAAGAGACTTGAAGATTTCCTGCTTCTTCAATCTGGGAAGTGTGGAGAGACAGGTGCTTGCTGGGTCTCCATAAGGGAAGGTCAGCTGGTCACTCCTCCTCTGCTTCTTTGATCTTTCAGGTTTTCACCCCAATATCTTACTCCTGAGTCTTTATTGGTAATAGAACAACTTAGATAAAAACAACAGATGCTGGGTGGAGGGGAACAGATATGGCCCTGGTTATTCCAAATACTATCCTATTGAGAGGAGGCAGTGGGTGAACTATTGACCTACTGCAGTGGGGACTATTTGCTGTCATCTTTCCTCCAGAGTCCCATGCCCCCTCTATCATAATTACTAGCTAATTAATTGTCTGTGGGCTATGGAACCCTTGGGTCTCAGCTGAATTAATGAGCTGTTTCTCCATAGGACAGGAGTTCTGGGATCCCTCTCTGTACCACATACCATGTCAGGCTTTCCATCACCAGAACCACTAGCACAGATGCTAACTTCTCCACACACTGAAAGAGAAGGCCATTTGTAAAAACCTTGATGGTAGAGATGTATCTGCCTTCTCTTGAGCTCATTTGTGCTACAGAAAAACAGTGAACTGTGGTCATTTACACGACTCTGATATTCCCTTAGCTTAATTGATTTAAACTTTGCTTCAACGTCTCATGTTAAGAAGGTGCAGATATGTAGATTTGTGAGGGGTAATCCTAAGTGTGTAGACAAATTTTTAACAACCACCTTGGCTAGAGGGATGCAGAACTTTAGTCTGAAGTATTTGCTCCATTTACACGATGTAAACATTCCCGGCAAGGAAGATTCTAGCTAACAATGGGTTAATAGCTAACTCACAAAACCTGAAAATTATCAAGAGGTGCTATGAGCTAGCTCTAACTCATTGCATATTCATGTAGTTAGAAAACTGCCTAGTAGTAAACATTAACAAGTCTTACTAATACTAGACATCTAGCCACCCATTCAGAACTGAGTAATCTCCTTATATTCAGTCTTCTTCTCGACGTCCATGTGGGGACTAGGCACCTGTTGAGAATTTGGTAATAGGCAATTGCTAGACAAAGAGGATATTCTGTGGTTGAAGGTAAGTAAAACGTTTCTCACCTGTGAAATATCAGATGTTGAAGGTAAGTAAAACGTTTCTCACCTGTGAAATATCAGATGTGTACCCAATAACCAAGTCTCAGACTGGAAGGCAAGCAAATCCAGGGATTTTGTTTGTTTGCCTTTCCATTGTTGTTGGGGGAGGTTCCTTAAAAAAAAAAAAAAAAAAAAAGGAAAGAAAAATTTCATTTTCATTTAGTGTGTTAGTGTGTGTGTGTATCCATGTGTGTGTCAGTGTTTGCAGAGGTCAAAAAAGAGCATTGGATTCCCTGGAGCTGGATCTATAGGTACTTGTGAACTGCCTGACATGGGTGTTGGGAACAGAACTCTGGCCCTTAGGAAGTGCACCAAGCACTTTTAACTGTTGAGCCTACTCTCTATCATTCTGTGGCCCAAGCTGGCCTCAAACTCACCATCCTCTTGCCTCTGCCTCCTGGGTACTAGCATGAAAGCCATGTGCCATACTTAACCTAAACAGGGTGAATTTTTATCACCCATATTGAATCAGGTGGTCATGTGGTTTCATTCCTTCAAACTCTCAGCCACAGTTCCCCAGCAAGAATCCTCTTTCTACATTTCTCTGAACACCAGTTCTGGGGAATGTTCTCTAGAATCTTGGTCCTAGTATCTGTTGAGTAGGTGACCTGAGACATGTTATTTACCCTGACAGTTCAATCTTTGATAAAATTGGTAAGATCATTACAAGGATACTATGGAAATCAGATGTTCAGACAGCTGTGTACCACAGTTGGCCCAAGGGAAACACTCCACAGGTGTAAAATGCTAATAAAAAAAAAAAAGGAGGAAATGATTACCAGACTTTCATTGATCCCTTCAGATGATCAACCCCTGCCCTGGCTTGTAGCACAATGTTGATACCTTAAAGCTTAAGAAAAAGACAAATGCACAGACCAATAAATGTCAGGAAGACATCTGGGCAGTGGTGCATGTTTTAATCACAGCACCCAGGAGGCAGGGACAGGCAGATCTCTAAATTCCAGGCCAGCCTGATCTACAAAGCCAGTTCCAGGACAGCCAGGACTACACAGAGAAACCCTGTCTAAAAAAAACAAGATGGGGTGGGAGAGAAAGTCAGGAAGACATAAGCTAGGAGAAACAACGGCAAATGGCAGAGATCAAAAGAGAGCAAAGGGAAGGTCACTAAGTTAGCAGAAATAAGGCAAAGAAAAGGAGGGAGTGAACTGCCAAGAGAAACAGAAAATTGATAAGAACATTAGTTGATGGATGAATATGAGTTGGTTGCCACTAAGGTAACACACTGCATACAAAGAAAGCAAAAGATGGTCAGCTGCTATTTGTGATCAGCCTCCTTTGCCCTCAACCAGGATGCCAGTAAGGATTCACATGTTCTCCATCACATTCTTGGTTTCCTCTGACCAGACACTATCTGACTCGGAGGAACAGTGGAAGAGGACAAGTGGTTAAGTGATGGGCTGGAGAAGGGAGCCTGAAAAACATCAGCCTTGTGTTTCCTGATAAGTACACAGGGTGAGTCTTTATCAGGCCTCTTATATCACACTAATCTGACAGCTTCATTCCTTCAACCAGACACAAAAAGCCATGGCCAACCACAGCTCCCCAGCGGGCTTCTTCCTGCTGGGCTTCTCTGAACACCCACACCTGGAAAAGATTCTCTTTGTGGTTGTCTTGTGTTCCTACCTCCTCACACTCCTAGGAAACACACTCATCCTCCTGCTGTCCACACTGGACCCCAGGCTCCACTCTCCAATGTACTTCTTCCTCTCTAACCTCTCCTTCTTGGACCTCTGCTTCACCACAACCTGTGTGCCCCAGATGCTGGTCAACCTCTGGGGACCCACAAAGACCATCAGCTTCCTGGGATGCTTTGTCCAACTCTTCATCTTCTTAGCCCTGGGCACCACCGAGTGCATTCTCCTGACAGTGATGGCCTTTGACCGCTATGTGGCAGTCTGCCAGCCCCTGCACTATGCCACCACCATCCATCCCCGCCTGTGCTGGCAGCTGGCAGCTGTGGCCTGGATCGTTGGCCTGGTGGAGTCAGTGGTTCAGACACCATCCACTCTTCGCCTGCCCTTCTGTCCCCACCATCAGGTTGATGACTTCGTGTGTGAAGTCCCTGCTTTGATTCGACTCTCCTGTGGGGATACCACCTATAATGAGATACAAATGGCTGTAGCCAGTGTCTTCATCTTGGTTGTTCCTCTGGGTCTCATCCTTGTCTCTTATGGTGCTATCGCCAGGGCAATAATGAGGATAAACTCTGCAAAGGGACGCAGGAAAGCTTTCGGGACCTGCTCCTCCCACCTCATCGTGGTCACCCTCTTCTACAGCTCAGTCATTGCTGTCTATCTGCAGCCCAAAAATCCCTATGCCCAAGAGAGGGGCAAGTTCTTTGGGCTCTTCTATGCAGTGGGCACTCCTTCTCTTAACCCTCTCATATACACCCTGAGGAACAAGGAGGTCAAGAGGGCATTCAGGAGGCTGCTGGGGAAGGAAGTGGAGCCCAGCTGACACACACTCTCAGTATGCTGAAGGGAGATTCTGCATGCCTTTATCAAAAGGCTTATGTGGTCATCCTCTTCAGACCTACCCTGCTACTGTAATGGATGACACAATACAGGACACAAAGATGAGAAATTCAGTAAGGGAATATAGTTATACCACATATAGATTACCTCAGGAATCAAATGCAATCTATCTGTACTTTATCAATTCACCTCCATCCTCCTGTGCCCCATTTCACTGATTTTGATTTTAATTCCTTGCCTTTGCCAGGGTGTATGTCATGAAGATTTTATTTTTGTTATGTCTTTGTGTATGTGTGGATGTCTGAAGAAGCAGGAAGAGGGTTTAAGGTCCCCTGGAGCTGGAGTTACAGGGAGTTAGGTTGTCCAACATGAGTGTTGTATCTCGAACTCTGGTTCTTTGAGAGAGCACAAACGCTCTTAACCGCCGAGCACAAACGCTCTTAACCGCCAAGCCATCTCTCTTGCCCCTTGTCACCATTTTTTCCCGCTTCCAATCCCATTTCCCACTGCATTTTTGCTGTATCTCCTTTAGAGTTTCTTTGTAATTCTATATGACTCTTCCTTTTTTATCGCCCAAATATCAGCAAGGGTTGAGGGGAAACTGAAATTTAATTTAGAAACCCAACCAAAAAATAGTGTTAGGATGTTTGCCTAAAATTTAGGTCCTGTGACTTCTAGTCAGACCATTCCCAAATGCATGCTGTTTCCACACCATAATAAAATGTTCCATTATTCTTACCTTGAGACCAGTACAAGGCCTTGGAGAGCAACCTGAACTGTAGTCCTAGTGTTGTCTTTATTAATGCCAGACAGCCAGGTCAAAAAAAACCCGCTTCTCTTTAATGCGGGGAGAACAATTTGAGCACTGGAACTTTGGTGCCATCTACTGGCCAGATATGGAACTGCATTGATATACCGACCAGTCACCTAAGTCCTCTCCCTAAACAGAAGGGCTGCTCAAGAGATAATATGTTGTAGTTAATGTGATAATTCTTAGATGTCTTGTGATCTTCCAGGTACCATTGAAAGTATTTTACAACCCTTGGCTCATTTCATTCTTGTAGCATTATGAAGCTTTTTCAGAAGCAAAACCTAAGAATAGTTCATATACCATCTCTCAAATTTCTCAGCCAGGACTGGCACCCAGGAGGGCATAATCCAGATCCCCAGCTCTAAGTCCTGTTTTGGTATATATAGAGCCTTCCTAGCCCAGCGAGAAGCCTCAATTTGTCCTCAAACTTAAGAGGAATCAATCTTAACTAGACATGTCCATCCTGAGACCTGCCTCGCTATAGGAAGTTTCCCAAGTTGCTTCAAAGCACCCTGTGAGAACATTAGAAACAGAAGACTACTTTGGTAAGATATCTGAGCCTGGAAGTCTGTCTCGGTGGGACAGGGCTTCCCTGCATATGCAAGGTCCAGGGCTTGAGCTTCAGCACAACAGACAAGTATCTGTGATGATCTGAGCACTACAAAGTGTGAAGGCAGTGCAACCCCATCTAAGGGTAGGGCCACCATCCTAGACCACCTGCTGTACTCAGTTCCAGAAAGGACCTCAGGAATGTGCCATGACAACTCAACAGATACCCAGCAGGATGCTCCTGCAGACATTCTGTCTGCGATTTATGGCCCTTGAAGATATCTAGATAATCCTGCTGAGCAGTCCAGATAACCCTCCTCAGCGGGTTGCGGTTCCCCGCCACAAGTTGAACCCAATGGTTTCAAATGTGGCTTCGCGCCCAAAGTCTAGACCAATAGTTTCAAAAAGTCACCTTGCCCCATATCCCTTCCACCCAATCCCAAGCATGTAATTCCCAGCTTGTGGTTTTTCCCTATAAAAACTCTTTACACCTGGGCTCGTGGCCACCGCCACATTTCCTTCCACCTACCTTGTGGTGGCCCAGGTTGAACCTGACAATAAAAGGACCCTTATGTGTTTGCATTGGAAACCGACTCCTTGGTAGTCTCTGGGGGGTTTCGAAAAACAGGTACAACAAAAGCTAAGTCTGGAGGAGTCACTGTAAATTTGAGGTGCACTGTGTCTGGTCTAGTCACCAGTTTACTTCTAACCCTCCAGTAAAGCCAGCCTTCCAAGTCTCACACTATGCACAATTAACCATTCCCCCAGATATGTACCAGAATAATACCTCAAAACATACAGCTTTATATTTATTTTTGAGACAAGATCTTAGTATGTAATAACCCTGGCTGGCCTGCAACTCGTGCTTCTGACTTCTGAATGGTGGGATTAAAGGCATGTCACCCCACCCAGCACAGGATGTGCCTCTTTTTTGTGTGGCCCTGGCTGTCCTGGAACTCACTCTGTAGACCAGGCTGGCTTTGAACTCTTGAGATCTCCCAGGACTGGGATTAAAGGCATGCACCACCCCTGCCCGGCTAGCACATGTCTCTTTAAGAAGAGGATTACTTTGAGCTAAAGGCTATAGGAAACCAACCCCCAAGAAATGCTGCCCAGCAGGAAACAAATTTTCCTTTTCTAAAGGAAATTTACATTTGAAAAGGCCTCATTCTTATCAGTGAAGAGGGCACTTGCTTAAATCTGCATAACAAATTTTTATTCACAGAACAGTATTTACCACACTTTCCCTAATGTCCTTTCTGTAACACAACTCCCCTCCACCAGCTCACTCAGAAATGAAAAACCCTTCACCTTTGGGTAGACTAAGTTGTATAAAGCCAACCTCTGAGTGCTCGTTACTAGTAATCTCAAAGTACACAAAGCACATGTTAAGAATTTCACATTTGTCTCTTATTAATCTTTTACCTGCCTGCAAGACCTCAGCTAGAGAACCTATGACACAGGACTTTTCCCCTTTCTACACACACCTGAAGATGTATACCATTTTGCTGCGCCAGAGCCTGCCAGGCCCACACACCTGTATTCCCGTGCAGCTGCCCTGTACTGGAAATCACCTTCCATCAGTTTCAGTCACTAAAGCAGTGGTTCTCAACCTTCCTAATGCTATGACCTTTTAATACAGCTCCTCATGTTGTGGTGACCTCCCTCCCAACTATAAAATTATTTCGTTGCTACCTCATAACTGCAGTTTTGCTGTTATGAATGGTAATGTAAATATCTGATATAAGGATATCTGATATGTGAGCCCTGTGTATCATCTGACCCCCACAAAGGGGTTGTGACCCACAGGTTGAGAGCACTGCACTAGACTCTAGTGTTGTTTCTTGCTCCAGGGAGGCTATAAAAATGGATGCAATACAAATGGTTGTTAATGTATTTTTTTTTAATCACATGCTTGAGAGGCAGCTTGTTGTGGAGCCCACTTTTATGATGGCCTTTGGTTAATGGAACACAAAGGACAAAGTAAAGAATTCCCTGCTCTAAAAGCCTTGGTGAATAAGCCAAAATTTGCCTGTCTCAGGCAGCCTAAGGTTATGGAACATTGTGAAGGGAAGCTGCAATTAGCAGAGCCATCTTCAAACAAGACAGGCAGAAAGGGCAGGTCTGGGGTGGCAAATGGCCCTGAAATATCCCCAAAGAGGGGCCTGGTAAAATGCTAAATATCAGATGAACAAAACTGGTTTGCTCAGGCTGGGTACAACGATACACACCTGTAGTCCCAGCGATGCAGAGTCAGAAGCAGGTGTATTTCTAAGTTTGAGGTCAGTCTGGTCTACATAGTTTAGTTCCAAGCTAGTCAGGGCTATTTTGTGAGGGCCTTTCTCAAGAGAGAGAGAGAGAGAGGCAGACAAACCTGGTGATCGTCAAGAGAGAAGATGCACAATATGGTGAGGTCATGAACACTGTCTTTGCGGAAGGCAGATAAGCCTTGGTGGATCATGTTTCCAGGTAAACGTGCAATGAATTACACTACTCTGTATGTGTTTCCAAGAGTTTAGTTCTACCCCTTGAGACTAGCACAGCAGAATGTAGCAAAAACAGTGTTTTGTGACTTCCAAGGTTTGCTGAAAAATACATATGTACCCGTCTCTCCCACCTCCAAGGACACGCAGTGACCTTTGAAATCTAGTTTACTGTATCAGAAGAATCAGATCACAAGGAAAAGCCCTGTGTAGTGGTTTCAGTCCACATCCCAGCCAAGGAGCCTGCTAGGCCAAAACAAAACCCACTTCTAGGGGTTATAAAGGACTTCTAACTAGCTCCTTGTCTTCAAAACTGCAGGCTGTTGTGTAGTGTAGACTCCCCTCACTGCAGCCCATTTAATGCTTTCACCCACAGAAACAAAGATGTGGCTGTTGTGGGCTACGCAGTGGTCAACGCACAGTCTGGATGTTTGCTCCACTTCCTGTTGCTGACAGTGTTCCTCTCCCCCAGCTGCAGGCTCCTGGCCAAGTAATGAATGTAGAACCCCACTCTATAGACTGTTGTGAGGGATCTGTCTCTGCCTCTCTCCTCTCCCTCTCAGAGGCCATCTTGTTCACTTCTCTTTCCCAGTTCCTAGTACAGTAACCATGGCCGTAACTGACTTGTCCAGTCAGCGCTTCTTAATGGAGCCAGGTGCAGTGGCTGATGACTGTAATCCCTAGGAATGCTGCAAGAGAACTTCTGTACATTTCAACCTGGACTACCCAGCCAGAGCTACATACCAAGACCCTGTCTCAAAAATAAAATCTGTTTCCAGGCACAATGCTTAACACCTATAATCCAATACTTGGAAGGTTGAGACACGAAGATCACCATGAGCTCAAGGCCAGCCTGGGCTATATAGTAACTACCATGCTCCAGATAGAGCTATGTGGTAAGACCCTGTACCAAACAAACAAACAAACAAAAAAACCCACAACCTGTTGACAGGCATGGTAGTACACACCTGTAACCCCAACACTTGAGAAGCTTCAGCAAAAGGACAATTCAAAGACAGCATGAACTACATAGTGAGGGTGAGGCCCAACATGGGCTATAGAGATGAAACTTTATCTTAGAATTACAAAGATAACAGTCATACACAGTAAGTATTCACAGGAGTTCTAGTGACTGGGGCTAGGGCAGAGATGAGAAAAGACCACAGGTATGTAACAGGGCACTGAGGCCTGGCAGGTAGTCTGGGGTGCAGGGTGTACCTGACTGAGGCGAAGCTGGAGGTGCGGTCAGCTCCACTGAGCACAAGAACAGGTGCTGCCTAAGCTCCCTCAGGCCTCTGCACCAAGCACTCTGTCAGCTCTGCTATGTGGCTGGGTTCCTGCCTCTCTTGCTATAGTCTGCCTCACTCTTGGCTACAGTGGAGCTTCTGACCCTTGATTTACTTACTATTCACACCCCACCCATGTGCAATGCAGTACTGACAGGGGTGATTTCAGTCTGCACAGGGCTGGTCTGTGCTTGGGCTATAGTTTCTGAAGCCAACTGTTAATTTCTACACTGCAGGTTTCTCTACTCCACAGGCCTCCTCTCCTTGTTCTGAGAAAACTCCACTGCAGGAAAAAGGGAAACTCAAATTAAATCCAACTGGTCCCAGGTGGATAATCACTATAGGTTGTTTTCAAAGGGGCCTAAGATTTAACCTGCCATCAACAGGACAGTGAAATGACAGAGCAGATCCAACCCTTGTAGCTTTCATGCAGAGCTGGGGAGGAAAACCATCATCTTAAAACAAAACAAAACAAACAAAAACCCGCACAACATGAAAAAGCTTCAAAAAAGCCAAAAGGGCACTCAGAATTCTAAGAATTCCAGTTTGTTTTTGTTCCTCCTGGCTTTTCAAACTTTCATCTTGATCAAAAAAAAAAAAATCTTCCCAAGGTACTCAGTGTTCCTTAGATAATGATTTTTAAGTTTGGAGGCACCTATCCAGAGCCTGGCAGTCACTGTTTACTTGTGATTCTTCCTTTCTGAGGAGACTCCTCACATCTGCTCCAGGCTCCCAGATCATGGCCACCACTGTCAGGGAATCCAGGAAGCAGCTGTAACAGAGGCTACCATGGCCCAAGCAGATCCAGGCACTGGAATGCATAATTAACCTAGTTCTTATATGCACTCCATTGAGAAATGCATCATCATTACCGTTATTACCAGATTCCCAAAAGTGGAGAATAGAGATTGGAGACATTTCTGCATGTGGTGCAGGCCGGACACGCTGGCAGTCTGACTCCAGAGCCCACACTTCTAACCACCAATGTCAGCACTTACTAATCAGGGCCTTAATCTTGTCCTGCTTTGCCCTACTAAATTCTGCATGGATCAATCACATATCTCTTTGCACCTCTCCACTTCAAAGCCTCTTCATTAACTCCAAGCCTGAGAGCCTGGGCTTCTCCCTTCCTGGCCTGGAGCCCACTCAGTTCACAGGATGGAGGGTGAGGTGCTGAGTCACACTGTTCACTGGTTTATTGAGATTCAGGGAGATCCTTCCCCAAGAGACACCACAGTGTGAAAGGGACATTGCCTCCCGCCCCATCAGTCCATCTGTCCACGCTTTGTATGGTTAGGATGTGGACCTACTATCCACTGGAAAGAGCCTCCAACCTGTACCCGTTTCTTTTCCCTTAGTTCTGAAAAATAATAATAATAAAGAAAAGAAAACTAAGATGCAGTCTTGAGAGATGATTGTGAGTACAGACTGAGAGAGGTACACATGAGAGCAAAGAATCCAGGGAACACCTGAGGGGAAATGCCAAGGAGAGGGTACGGATGGCTCAGAACACATGAACTGAGGAGGACGTGCTTAACTATGTGCATGTTGGGTGCACATGGCTCTGTTGGAAAAAGACATGACATCAGGTAGGCAGACAACTGTAGTCCAAACACTCAGAAGGCTGAATGAGACAGGAAGACTGCCATGAAGCCAGCCAGGGAAACACACGCACACAAAACACACAACGATGTGAAGATGCAAAGCAGTAAATATACAACGCACTGAGTCACACAGGGAAAACACAGAAGGACATGGCATGTACATGAGGAAGACAGCTTAGTGTGCTCAGCACATCACACACACCTACCCAAGTACACCACAGCACACACCCATAACCACTGTGCATTCATAGGTGCAGGGTATGCGGAGAGCACATGGCAGCATGGGAAAGCACTCAGGAAAAATGCACTTGGAGGATGGGGTACAAGTGTTGGGATTCAGGAGCACACAGAGCAAAGAGACAAAGAGCATGTGGGCCTGGGTGAGAATGAATCCCCTGGAAGAAACAACACTTAAGGAGAGGAACACACAGGGATGTGTAGGACAAGGGCAATGGAAGGAGATTCTGATGCTGAGAAAGAGAGGATCCTGCTAGTGTGGGAAGAACACTTGTGGGGAGACCCCTGCTGCTAAAATTGCAGGAGTTTCCGTGGTAACTATACAAGATAGGCTGTGGGAGAAAAATATGGTCAGCTGCCCCTCTGGGGTTATGAGTGAATAGCTTCAAATAGAGTTTGAACTAAACCGTGAAGTAGTGATACAAAATAATATGAATGAAAAAGAGAGAAAACAGTCTGTTTCCCAGAGTATTGGAGACCCAAATAACCCCAGATGCACAGAGTGACATATATTTATAAGAGGGGGATTGGAGCATGTTCTCCCAGTTGGAGATAGGAGTCCTTGCCCTCCTCCCAGTCCCCCACCCTCTTCCCAGACCCTTCCCTCCCCGACTGGCCTTATCCTTCTTGACACCCCCTCACTTGTAAAGCAAATGCACTCGACTCCCATCACAGCTAAGTCGGTCAGGGGGCTCCGAGGGTCCCCTGGGAAGGCCCCCAGAGGGGTCCGGGGGTGTTGGGGGATGGCGCCGTGAGCGGAGCTGCTGCCGAGACTGGAGCTGATGGCGCAGTTCAGAGACACGCTCCTCTTTCTGGAGGAAGAAGCACAATTGGGAGTGTGGGAGGAGGGTGAGGAATGGAAGGGGGAAAAGGGAGGAGAGGCATTGAAATGGTGTGTACAGGTGAGAGAAGAAATTAAAATGTGAACCAAGAAAGGAACAAAGAAAGCCACGGAACGAAAAGGCACCAAGAGAATAGATGGAGGAAATAAGTGAATTAAAAAACAAAAGGAGAATGACAGGAAAATTGCATCAACCAAGGTGGAATGCCGCCCTCCACCCCCAGCACTGCACCAGTCCCTAACTACAGCCTGGACACAGCGGACACCGTGGGCAGCTGCCTAGAACCAATATGCTGTGGATGCATGCCTCCCCCATCTACTGCCGATGGACTCTCTTTTGCCTCAGGAGGGCTGAATCTATAGTCCCCACTCCAGAGCCTCCCTCCCCCCTCCTCCAGCTAACACTAAATTTTAGTTAAGACTGAACCTCAGCCCTTTTCCTTTCCCTCTCCTGCCCCTGCTCCCCTGCAGGTTTTATGGGATCCTCTGTAAATCACCAACACTTGAACCTGTATCTAAGGCTCAACCCCAGACAACCCACCCTTAGACAGGGGCCCCCGGCCGTCACCACACACCTCAGCAATGATCTTTTCCAATTCACGGTTCTCTTTCTCCAACAGCCTGGACTTCTCTTCCTCGTTGTTGTTGGTGGATGACCCCGTCTTCATGGTGTCCTGTGCTTCAGACTGCCATTCCCCTCGGGTGATCAACCTGCGCATCTGGGGGGCAAAGGTTTGGGCACTGGGTGGCTGAGCAGAAGCTCTGTGAGTGAGCAGCTGGTAAAGTGTTGGGAGTAAGGAGTAATGAAAGACAAGCTGGGCCAAAATGGAAGTCCTGGTTTGCTGTGGGATGTTCTGTATGGCAAATGTGTTGCTGATTGGTCAATAAATAAAACACTGATTGGCCATTGGCTAGGCAGGAAGTGTAGGCGGGACAAGGAGGAGAATAAAGCTGGGAAGTGGAAGGCTGAGTCAGAGAGACACTGCCAGCTGCCACGATGAGAAACAGCATGTGAAGATGCCGGTAAGCCACGAGCCATGTGGCAAGGTATAGATTATGGAAATGGATTAATTTAAACTGTAAGAACAGTTAGCAAGAAGCCTGCCACGGCCATACAGTTTGTAAGCAATATAAGTCTCTGTGTTTACTTGGTCGGGTCTGAGCTGCTGTGGGACTGGCAGGTGATAGAGATTTGTCCTGACTGTGGGCCAGGCAGGAAAACTCTAGCTACACTGGTTCTATCTAGGGAGGGCAGGGGAGAGCCAGACTCACCTTGGGCACAAAGAGCACAACCAGAGTAATGTAGGAAGAGAACACGATGGCCAGAGAGGCAAAAGCAAAGGCTGCATCCTGCTGGCTGGAAAGAATCATGGTGACAGGAGCAGTGATGAGACACAGGACCTGGAGAGAAAGCATTTGGGAGACTCAGATCTAACACACGGTTCAAGTGGGATGCAGGGTTTCCTTCCCCAAAGAGAGAGCCCATGGAGACACACTCCTGGTGAATGGTCCACAAATTCAGGATGATCCTCGACTTTAAATAGCTAAAAATCAGGAACAGACTACCAAACCAGTTCTCAGCTCTCGATCAATGCTTCCCTCAGGATCTCTGCATTCCGTCTGTCCTTGAGACTACTCTGGGCAGGTGCAAATGATGTAACAATGTACTTTCATTTCAGCTTTGTTCTTATCTGTGTGTATTGTGTATGTGTGGCTCAGGAGCACATGTGTGCACAGGGATGCTAGAGGAAAACTTCAGCTGTCATTCCTCCTCCACTTTGGTTTTTCATACCGTGTCCCTCACCTGGTCACTGAGAACTGAGGACCTGTTTATCTGCATCTCCTCAGGGCTGAGATTACAAGCACATCCCATTATACCCAGCCTTTTCTGATGTGGGTTTTAAGGACCAAACTCAGCTCACAGTAAGTTGTCTTGTAAGCATCAGGACCTATCACCCCAGCCCTAATGTAGTGTTCTTTCTAAACTGCTGTATAGTTAAATCCTCTGAATTGAAACATCCCTCTCCGAAAGAGAGGGAGACCTGTGATACTCAGCCACTTAGAAGACTAAGAAGGCCCATCCCCAGTTAGTTACATAAGCAGTAACAAATTCCTGGTGAGTGAATGTCTCCTGTGGAACTGCCTGTAAGTCGGGCAGGGAACTCCAGGTGTGCAGCTACCATGAGCCGCCACCCGTGCCGCAGTGGACTTTTAGATGACATAAATGCTATTAACTCCCTCATGCTCCTGTGGTAACCTCAACAAATACACAGATTCACCAAGTGTGGTGGTTAGCTTTGTCAATTTGACATAGTTTAGATTCTGGACTCTAGAATCACTCAGGTGATTATCAACGAGGGATTGTCTAGATCATCTTGGCTTCGTCTGTGAGCATATTTGGGGGGGGGGAGATTTTCTTGATCTATATTGTTGAGTGATTTGGGAAGACTCAATCATTGTAGAGAGCAACAAACCCTAGGCAGGAGGTCCTGGATTGAACATGAGTAAGCATGCATGCATTTATTTGTTTTTGCTCTTGACTCTGGATGACTAGCTCCTTCAAGGTCCTATATTGACTTCCCTCATTAATGGACCATAACTTAGAACTGTGAGCTAAAATCAGTCCTTTCTCCTCAAAGTTGCTTTTTGTCAGTCATTTTATCAAGCAACAGAGATGAAAGTAGGATGCCACGTTAGACTCTGGTAGAATCATTTCTTTTGCCTGTCGTGGTACCCTGTCTAGGGTCTCCTCAGGAAAGTCATACAACCATGTATATATACATCAGTCATTATTAACCAGTGTTTTATGACTTCTACACAAATGATCTCAGATCTAGTTTTCTGATTCTTCTAGTCCTACCACCTTAACAGTTTCCAGGACTAACCCCGGGTGTCAAGGGAGCTTACCGCAACGTTGTAGATAGCCATGCCCACAGCCCTGTGGTCGTTGATCTTTTCGGTGGAAACGCTTTTGGTCTCATAGGCAAGAAAGATTCCCAGTAGCAGCAGCAGCCCCTTGTAACCATAGAAAATGCCTAGAACAGCAGGAGAGTGTCACCTGGGCAACAAGGACCATCACACTCCCAACTCAACCCTCTTCCTCTCTTTGTCCTTGTAGCTCCTGTGTAAAGGAAGCCTTCCTCTCCATTCCAGTCCCTCTGACATAGCAAATTCTCAGTGTGGCCCCACCCGTGTGGCCCAGACCTCACTTCAGCTTCCAATGGAGCAGCTAGGAATGATCCAATATATGCTACACAGTGTCTAGACCCTTAGACCACCAGGCAGGAACATGCAATCCAGGCTAAGGGTTTTAGTTCATCCTGTGGATTTGTAGATCAGAGGAATATTAGCCAGGCTGAAGAGAGGCTAAGCCCATGACCTCATGACCTTGGTCTTACTCTCAGGAGCTGACCAGTCACAGAAGGGTGGGTTACGCACCAGCACTGGCCCTCTGCTGAACACTGCTACTCACGGCGAAAGCTCTCCTACTCTTGGAAGTTTAGTGCAGTGATAAAGGCACTGGAACTGTCTCCTCTCTGAATGGTCCTTCTCCCCTGGCCTCCTGCTGTTACCCATTCCTCCTGCATATGCTTCCTCCCTCCCCTCCTCCCACCCACATCCCACACACCAAGCCATGTATTCATCTTCTTGGAGCTGCAGTGCTCCAGCTGGGGCAGGATGGAGACATCAATGTC